TTTCTCTTCTCCAGAGAATGGGAGGTAGAGTGGAAAGCACCAAGCTTCTTATCAGGGCGCGGTCTTTCTGGAGCCGTCCAGGAGTCGCCTCGTGAGGACATGAGATGCTCCTGTCACCCAGGAAATTCCAAGGGACTTAGGACCTCTGTGTCAGAAACGAGGGTCAAAGACCAAGTAGAGAGCAGAAGATTCCCCCTGGAATTTAGAGGTTGCCCAGGAAATTAGCGCTTTGAGGAGTTCTGAGCCAGGGACCTAGGGCAGAGACCATATATGTATTTCTTTTAAAAAATGATTTATGTATTCATTTGGAAGGCAGAATGACAGATGAGAGGGAGAGATGGGGGAGAGAGGGCAAAAAGAGAGAGAGGGAGAGAGAGGGAGGGAGAGCACTTCCATGCACTGGTTCATTCTCCCAGATGTCCCCAATAGCTAGGTGTGGACCACACTGAAGCCAGGAGCCAAGAACTCCATCCGGGTCTCCTGCATGGGTGACAGGGGTCCATGCACTCAGGCCATCATCCACTGCTTTCCCAGGTGCATTAACAGGGATTTGGATGGAAGCGAAGCGGCTGGGACTCAAACCAGCACTCCAATATGGGATGCCTGTGTTACAGGCAGCAGCTTAACATGCTGTGCTAAAACGCCAACCCAGGTAGTTCTTATCACATCACAATGTGACACAGGTTAAAGGCTGCTCCGATCCAGCCCAACAAAGCGTCAAAGCACATTTCCAAATGATCCGACTGCTTCCAGGTCACATCAGGGTGTCCCAGTATTAGAATCCTGGGCTAATCCTAAGGAAAAATCACCTTAGGCTATCACTGTTGGGATATTCTCTGGTGATATAAATAATACAAGCTTGCAGACCATTTTCAGTCTTGTCTTGAGTTAGACCCACTGAGTTGCCTTGAAGCAAGGGTGGAGTGCTGGGCTGTTCCATTCTTAGTTCAAGGACTTTGCACCACTCCCTGTCATCATCTTGTTTACCAGTAGGGTTATTTGTATTATTCAGATGGAAAGTTGGTGTCTAGAGTTCATAATCTTGCCTGCGTTCTCCTGGCTGGCATTTGATGGGCCAGGATTTTGGCAGGTGGGGGTGGGCATTTAGCTTAGTGGTTCAGATGCCCTTGTCCCAGCAGAGAGCCTGGGTTCAATTCCCAGCTCCTGACTCCAGCTTCCTGCCAATGCAGATTGTGGGAGGCAGAGGTGCTGGCTTAAGTAACTGGGCTCCTGCCTTGGGTGATCTGGAGTTCCTGGCTCCCAGGGGCTGTTGTGAGCATTTGGGGAGTGAGCCAGTGGATGGCTGCTTTCTCTCCCTGTGTCTTCCTGCCTCTCAAATACGTTTGTTAAAATTGTGTCTCATTTTCCTATCATCACCAAGTCTCGGGCCTCACTCAGGAGGCCTCTCTTGAGATATGAGGTGACAATAACAATGCCTGGCTCTTAGGATTTCACTGTAATATTGTAAACAGCATTGAAGACCATTTCTGGCTCATTGAGAAGTTTTTATTAGGAACTCCAGGAGATGCCAAAAAGGCACACAGTTCATTGTTTTCACGCTGTCCTGCAGCCTCTGATCTGTGCATGCTGCCTTGGGCTGCCCTGTTGGAGCGTGAAGTGTCTCTTTCCTGATCTCTTGGCTGGAAAACTCTGAGCCACTTTGGAGGTGAGAGGGTCACTTCCAGGAGCGGACGTGGCCGTCCATGGCAACAGGACTCCTGCCCTGTGCAGTCGGGTGCTTTCCCTGAGCAGGAGGGTTTTTGCAGTGCCCCTGGTCCTCGACCACACTCGGCGTCTTGGAGTTCACATCCAGCAGAGGCAAACAGGGCATGGAGAGTCTGACCCTGTGGGTTGTAAGGATGAGGCCCCATAATGTCAGAAGTGCCAGGAGCAAAGATGACTCAGCCAGGCCTGAGAATAGATGCATAGGGTGAGTGATAGCATGTTCTCCACAGTGGACTTTGTACAACTTGAGTTCAGGAGGTGCTCGCACATGTTAGAAGGAGCATGGTTGGTTGGGAAGGAAAGATCTGCTCGATGGCTTTGGGTCTGTGGGTTTATGGGGAAGAAGAAAGTGACTGAGCTCACAACTGGAGTTTATCGTGGGACTAGCATTCTCATCCAGTGTCGTCACCTTTTACTTTAGAGACGGCGGCATATGTGTGGCTAGGACAGCAGCAGCAGCATCGTACACACAAGGTGCTTGCTTGGGGAGTTTTTTTCTGAGCAGATGGGTTCTGCTCCACCTGAGGGCAGATCCAGCCCTGTCACTAGTTAGGGAGCGTGCAGACCTATCCAGGTGAGAGATGTGCCAGGATGGGGCAGGGTTTCTGAGGACGGATGCTGATGGCAAGGACATGGAGTGAACAATACATCCACAAAACCAAGCGCAAGGTGACGTGAAGCCAGAGAGCTTGGAGAACTCTGCCCTTGGAGGCCATGGTGGACTCACCGGGGCCAGGCGGCATCAGAGAAGACCAGGGAGCACCTCAGAACCTAGAAAAACTCTCAGCCCCAGACACACCTGGCGTCAGGGCCATCCTGAACCCAAGTCACTCGGGACAGTGTCTTATACCCACATCCCATCTGCCTGTAGCCACCTTTGCTCCGTTCTGCTCCTCCAGCAGGCCACGCCCAGATGCCTACAGATGGCACCTGGGAACCGGGAAATCCTGCCAAGGCCTCTGAGCCCCCTAGATACCACTTTATAAAAATGTGTGCACCTTGGGGCCGGCTCCGTGGCGCACTAGGTTAATCCTAGTGCCAGCATCCCATATGGGTGCCGGTTCTAGTCCCTGCTGCTCCTCTTCCAATCCAGCTCTCTGCTGTGGCCTGGGATAGCAGTAGAAGGTGGCCCAAATGCTTGGGCTCCTGCATCCACATGGGAGATCAGGAGGAAGCTCCTGGCTCTTGGCTCCTGGCTGCGGATTGGTGCAGCTCCAGCCATTGAGGCCACTTGGGGGGTGAACCAATGGAAGGAAGACCTTTCTCCCTGTCTCTCTCTCTCATACTCTGTAACTCTGCCTGTCAAATAAATAAATAAAATCTTAAAAAAAAATGTGTGTGCACCTTGGAGACTTTTCTCAAGCACTCTGAGTACCGTCCACCTGTGGACACATAAAAAATTAGGCTTTGAGGCCAGCCAGCAAGGTTTGTTTGCTTTTTTATTTTTTTTAAAGATTTATTTTATTTGAAAGACTGAGTTACAGAGAGAGGGAGAGATACAGGGAGAAGGAGGGAGAGAGATCGTCCATACCTGGTTCAGTCCCCCAAATGGCCACAGCAGCAGAAGCTTGGCTGAAAAAGCCAGGAGCCAGGAGCTTCTTCTGGGTTTCCCACATGGGTGCAAGGGTCCAAGTACGTGGGCCATCTTCCACTGCTTTCTAAGGCGCATTAGCAGGGAGCTGGATTAGAAGTGGACCAGCCGAGACTCAAACCAGCGCTGCAGGCAGCGTCTTTACCCACTACAACACAGCACTGGTCCTGAAAGCTGGGTTTTGATTTCTCTGCTCACTAAGGCAGCATCGACCTTGAAGAAAAGGAAGATCAGCTCACACTTCTATGGCACACATTCCAGAAATATGTGGCTGAATATGTCTTTTGAATGTTAAAAAAATTCATCCAAATTATTCTCAGTTATACCCCCAGAATTTTTCATGGTGTAGGCAGAGCACTTTAATGTATTTTGTATCAACTCGGTAATTGAATATCATCCCCTGTATATTCAGTGTTTGTAGCACAGTGTTCATATTTTATAAACCTTGCAGCAGAATCTCACCATTCTACATGACAGAGCTTTAGAGCTTCCATGTTACACATTTAATTGGAATGTAAGTATAACACGTATAGGACGTAACATTCTTGTTAAGAAAGCAATTGTGGATTTTATCTTTCTCTTTCCACTCTCACTTATTGTCTTGTTCTCAGTTAAAATAGTTTATATGACAAAATTAAAAAAAAAAAAGCCTAAGGAGGAGTATCTTTAAGATCACTTTTACCCCATTAGCATAAAATAACCCCATATGAACCTCAGAAATCATCCTGTACATGTGATTTTATAACCTGGCTTTTCTTTATATAAAATATGACTAATGTTTTCATGTAATGAATGTCCTTCTAAAACACGATTTTGAGTAGCCACGTGACGGTTCACTCAGTGGCTGTGCAGTAGCGTAGTCCCTATGACGGGAGGCAGTGGAGGAAGACAAGGAACAGACTGGAGCACACCCCTGCCTTGTGCTAGCCGTGACCATGGCCAAGCCACCTATTCTATTCCCCAATCCCTTCACCCATCAAATGTAGACAATAACAGTACCAGCTTCCTAGAGCTTAATGCGAAAATTAAGTAAGTTATTACACATGGTACTTAAAACACCTAGGAACTAAGAATAATGGGCCCATATATCTTATTATATATGGGATCATTCTTATCCTAATGCCATCTGTGATTCTTTACATCATAAGATACCTTTACATCATAAGTACTCAATAATCAGTGATTATTACTACATATAATGTTTGCATCTTTTTGATATCAGCACTGTGACGAATATCGTTGAAGGAAAAGTCGTTTGCCCCTCTTATTGTTTCTGGAAGATCAGTTGTTACAGGTGGAGGTGCACCTGTGACCCCGAGTGCTAAATGGGCCTCCGTAGAGGTTGTAGCATTGTCCACACACAGCGGCCATGCCACACTCAGTGATTGGCTTCTGGAAGTGCATGAGGGGGAGAAGTGACCACTGCCCCCTGGGGGATTTTTGTAGTTCTCCCAAATCATTGATATTGAGCAGTTGGGATTTATTCAACGTACTCTTCCTTTTCAGTACCTCTGTAGGCTCCAGGCAAAGTTGTGAGAAGTTAGAAGCATGCTTACTTTGGGCGTGTTTGGCATATGTGTGGGAGGTTTGCTTGAGAAGATGCTTATGTTGATGTGAGCGTTTGCGCTTGGCTCTCTTGTTAAGGTGTTGTCCCTCATCGAAACCCATGTTTTCTGTTTCCAAGAAAAAGGCAGCCAGCCTCGGGAGCGGTCAGTCTTCCAGAACCAGCACTGGTGGAGCAGTCCCAGCGGCCAAGGTCAGTCACTTTCCAAGCAGGGAGAGACCCCTGCTTTTCCTCCTGGCACACAGGCCTGGGTGTCACTGCGAGCTTTGGGGACAAAGTCACCTTTCTCTGATAGAGGAGAGGATGTGATTTCTTTTGAGGGATTTCAAACACAGTAAAGCCATTTGGGTTACCATTCTTCCTGGCACATAATAAGGGCTCAATAAATATTATTGTTAAGTATCTATCGAAAACACTGGACATTTGCACATTCTGTGAGTAGAAATGCGGTCATCTTGCTTCTTTGGAAAACGTTTCAGACACCCCTCCTGAGTATTAACCAGGGCAAGGTCTCTCCTAAGTTCTCTGTGTAATTGTCTTGTGCAAGGCTCCAAAGCCTCATTGTCATTATTCCTTTTATACCTGAAGAAACTGGGGCTCGGAGAGGCTGGATAACCCTGACACACCCACAGAGCTGGCACGATGGAGGTGGGATTCAAACCCAGCTTGCACGCTCATGCAGGCTCCTTAATGTTGCAGAGTCTCATTCATTCTGAGTGGGTTGTTGTTTTTTTGTTTTGTTTTGTTTTGTTTGGTAATATAGCACTTCTAAGCTTTGCAACTCATAAAGATCTCTAAAATGTCACCCTTCAAAACAAGAAACTAATTTTAAGTAGTAGTTTTTCATTTTAAAAAAAATTGTTAATTTTATTTGAAAGAGGGAGATTTTTCATTTGCTGGTTCACTCCCCAAATGCCTGCAGTCACTGGAGCTGGGCCAGATCAGAGCGAGGAGCCTGGAACTCACCCTGGGCCTCCCCTGGTGATGGTAGGCACCCCACCACTTGAGCCATCATCTGCTGCCTCCCGGATACACATTAGCAGGAGGCTCGAACTGCAATGAGAGTCGGGACTCAAACCCAGGCGCTGTGACAGAGGACGTGGGTGTCCCAAGCCACATTTAACCACGGTGCCAAAAGCCCCCCATCAGCTCATAGTTTGTAATAAATAAAAGGACTCGTCCATGGAGCCATGGAAAAGGAGTGTTTTTCCTTCTGAAGCGGTGCTTATCCTGTGGAAGTCGGAGGACGTTTTCATGTACTTGGATGTCACTCACTTGAAGGGTTAATGTTTTAGTGCCTCCCAGAGCTCCTCCTGCTCTCCATGCCCCTAATGGTGCTGAAGCCTAGAGTAAGCTGAGACGTGAGAAGAGGCTGGACTCTGAAGCGGGGCTGTGCACAGCAGCACCGTCCTAACTGAAGGCCTGCGAGTGTGTGTCAGACGCCTCTCAGCTCTCCCTTCCAGGGCCGGCCTTGTGGCCCAGGGCCTTTAGCCACCACTTGCAGCTTCAGCATCCCATATCCCAGCTGCTCCGCTTGCCATCCAGTTCCCTGCTATTGCAATGGCACAAGTACTTGGGCCCCTGCCACCCCTGTGGGAGGCCTGGATGGAGTGCCAGGCTCCTGACTTCTGCCTGGTTCTGACCTGACTGTTGCGGCCATATGGGCAGTGAACCAGCGGATGGAAGATAGTGCTCATGCATACTCTCTCTCTCTCTCCTGTATTCTTTCAAATAAATAAATAAATTTTTAACAAAAACAAAAACCATTTCCCCCTTTTATCAACCAGTCATAGGGTAAAAATTAGTGAAAGACGATGAATTTTAAACCCAGAGAGTGAATTCATACTTGGGAGCCACATACAGTGTTGAGTGAGGTCTGCCCGTCACCATGGGTGCTGTCCGGGAGCCTGCAGCCGTATGCTCACCCAGACTTGGCAGTCAGAGCCTGTCTGAGTCTCCTCTCTGCCACTTGTTGTGGAGCTTCGGCTTCTGCATGAGGGTACGACTTCCCTTGTCAGAGCTGTTGAGAAGTTTACATGAAATAAGACATAGAGCGCTTTCCTGGGGGCCTGGCAGGTGGGAGGTGCTGGGAACCTGTATCTCTTCTGGGACTTCTCTTACTAGTTCTCCCATTCTGTTTTTTTGTTTCTTTCTTTAAGATTTATTTGAAAGGCAGTTATAGACAGAGAAGGAGAGACTGAGAGAGATCTTCCATCCACTGGTTCACTCCCCGAATGGCAGCCATCTGTGACAGCCGGAGCTGGGCCAGGCCAAAGCCAGGAGCATAGAACTCCAACTGGGTCTCCCACGTAGGTGCAGGGGCTAAAGCACTTGGGCCATCTTGCACTGCTTTCCCAGGAGCATTAGCAGGGAGCTGGATTAGAAGTGGAGCAGCCAGGACTTGAACCAGCGTCCAACTAGGGATGCTGGTGTTAGCAGGCAGCCGCTTAACCTGCTGCACCACAGCACTCCCCCTGCTGCACCCAGCATTCTGGTGTTTACAGGTTACAGCTGGACAAGTTTATCCAAACATGCACTCTCTTTTGCCCTTATTAGGACGTGTGCTTAACTTACACTAAACTATGCCTCTCAAATGAAGAAGCTCCCTGTTCGCAGCCCCCGTCCCCACTGATGTGACGGAAATCAATTGTAAATAATTTCCAGAACTGCCAACACGTCCACTTTTGGAAGTTCAGTACATTGCGGAGACCCACACCTAATTTTTTCTTGAAAAACTTGGTGCTTTTTTTTAAGATGTATTTGAAAGACAGTTACACAGAGAGAGGGGAGGCAGAGAAAGAGGTCTTCCATCCGCTGGTTCACTCCCCAATTGGCTGCAATGGCCTGAACTGGGCCAATCCAAAGTCAGGAGCCAGGAGATTCCTTGGGGTCTCCCAGGCAGGTGCAGGGGCCCAAGGACTTAGGCTATCTTCTGCTGCTTTCCCAGGCCATAGCAGAGAGCCGGATTGGAAGAGGAGCAGTTGGGTATTGAATCGGCACCCATATGGGATGCCGGCGCCTCAGGCCAGGGCTTTAACCCTCTGCTCCACAGCGCCGGCCCCGGCCCGTTTTCTGTCATTTTTTTTTTTTTTTTCACCCAGGAAAATATCCTCCAACCTTTCTGAGTTGGGATGGTTATAAAGAATTTGGACATCACTCCCCAGACCTGCTCTGTTAAGAACCTGGGGGAGCATCTGTACTGGGAAAGGGAAATATTTTAGGCACGTGTTTGTTACTGTTGTAGTCTTCAGTGGCTAACACCCGTGCTCTCCCACCTCCATTTCTCTCTCTCCTGTTGCTGTCTCTCACCGAGCTTTCTGTCCTGCTTTCTTCCCCCAGTTTCTGGAGCAGCGATTTCCCCAGGGTTTAATTTTTCACTTCATCCTTTCTCAGATCTTGGTGAGACACTTGGATGATGCTGAAAGGTCACCGTATCTGGAGATCAAATCATTTGTTGTATCAACAGAGCTAAATGATACAAAATCCTAATAAAGGGAAAAATAGGCCGTGGCTTGGAACTGAAGGCTTTCACAGGGATTAACTGACTTTTGAAAGAAAGTAGACCAATTAATCTCTTTTTTTGAGGATTTATTTATTTGAAAGAGCAACAGAGAAGGAGACAGAGATCTTCCATCTGCTAGTTCGTTTCCCAAATGGCCATGACCAGTCTGAGCCACATTGAAGCCAGAAGCCATGAACTCCATCCGGGTCTCCCACATGTGTGGTGGAGGCCCAAGTACTAGGGCCATCTTCTGCTGCTTTCCCAGGTGCATTAGCACAGAGCTGGATTGGAACCAGAGCAGCCAGGACTCAAACTGGCACTCTGATATGGGATGCTGGTGTAACAAGTGGTGGATTAACCCACCGGGCCGTAACACTGGCCCCAGGCCAATTAATCTGAAATACAAATACCCAATTATAATGAAGTAATGAATAAGATTTCTACTAAGTTACAGAAGCAAGGCCTTTAACTCCTTTAGAGTTTCAGAAGGAAAACTATACATGCTTACTTATTTCTTGTTTTGATGCCAGATTGGAAGGGCTGCAACTCAATATTGTTATCTCATAAAATGTTGTCATTTTCATGCACCATTTAGAAAACCCAAGGGTACTGACATCTGTGATGACTTGAAGTCTTTTATTACACAACTATCATAACACACGCAGGAAAAGTAATATTCTGCCAATATATTCAGATAAGTCATGACAAAGCAGTGGATATGGCTGGCAGTGAAGGTGATTCCTGGTTTTCTTGATTCTGGACACATACACTTGACAGTCAAAATAAGTAATAATTTTATAATTATTAAGGAAACTTTAAAGTCTGTCTTAAAAATTAAATGTTTGAAGCTTGTGTGTAAGCTGTGTATGATAGAATGGTTTGTACACACTGTGGAAGGCTTTCATGAGAATTTTTACAAAATGACTTAGATTTTTTAAAGGGTTATTTATGATTTGAAAGGCAGAGTGATGAGGAGGAAGAGAGAGAGAGAGAGAGAGAGAGAGGAATAGTCCATCCTGTGGTTCATTTCCCAAGTGCCTGCAACAGCCAGGGCTGGGCCAGGCCAGGTCAAAGCCGGGAACCAATAACTTGATCCTGTTTTCCCCGTGGTAGGGGTGCAAGTACTTTGGCCATCTTCTCCCAGGCACAGTAGCAGGGAGCTGGATCGAAATCAGAGCCAGTCAGGCTGGACCTGGCATTCAGATATGGGATGCTGGCCTTGCAAACAGCAGCTTACCCTGCAGCACCACAATGCGGATTGCATAAAATAGGAAATTATGCCCACAAGTAATATCCTTTCTGCCACATGGTTTGGGACCTGGCAGATCCAAAGCTTTTAAGTGGTACAGGTATTTCTAATGCAAAATAATTATTGTTAGATGTTCAATGTTTAACATGCGATTTTTGGAAAATTAATGTAGACCAATAAAGCTGCAGAAATTACATGGACTCTTTTTTTTAAAAGATGTGTTTATTTATTTGAAAGGCAGAGTTTACAGAGATAGGGAGGGAGAGACAGAGATATCTTACATCTGCTGGGTCACTCCCCAGATGGCCACAATGGCCAGAGCTGCACCGATCTGAAGCCAGGAATCAGAAGCCGAGGAGCTGCTTCTGGGTCTCTCATTGGGTGGCAGGGGCCCAAGCACTTGGGTCATCTTCCGCTGCCTTTCCCAGGCCATTAGCAGGG